TATTCACTACTCTAGAAAAAACTCTGAGACTTTGTACATTGCCTGACTTGCTCCAGAATCCCAGCTGTTAGATTGCCAGTTGAGTAGGAGATGTGCAGTCTCTGAGAGGACTGCTGTCCAAGAAGTCCTATGCGACCACAAAGAAGGCCACACGGTTCTCATTCTCAACATCCCAAACCCAATGTGTCCGACTGTCATTTTGTGGAAAGGCAGAAAAAGAAAAGTACGTGGCCTGTGTGAAATATGTAAACCATGCCTCATAACCAAAGAAAGAAAGAACACAAACTCTCTCTCTCTCTCTCTCTCTCTCTCTCTCTGTTAAGAGAGTTAATGTTAAATGGAAGTCTTCGTGCTGGTTACTTATAATTCACAGCAAAATAGAAAAGGGAGACAAAATCAGCAGTATCGTTTATAAACCCCAGAAAATGAAAGTTTCCAAGCTGTCATAAATAAGGATGGGAGCATTTGCCAAGTCAGAAATTTTGCCAAGTTTGAAATCCACTCAATCCTTATATCTTGGAGCTCAGAAAAGAACACCAACCTTTGGGGACTTGTAATCATTTCTTCTCAGCAAAACTTTTTTGCTTTTCATAAGGAAGTAAAAACAAAAAGCAAAAAATATGATATGGAAAGTTTTTTAAAGGAGTTGAGAGCATTAAAGCACAGTGAGCACTGGGAAGGCAATAATGGCATAAATTGTATTATGTATTGAGATTAATGTCCTATTTAATCAAATAGGACTTAAAAGTATGCAATATTCCTATTCTGTGTGTGTGTGTGTGTGTGTGTGTGTGTGTGCAAGCGAGAGAGAGAGAGAGAGAGAAAGAAAGAAGAAAGTTGTCTTTCCTTGCTAGTGCCTGTCTCTCACACACATAATCTTTTTCCTAGGCACATATACCACCCTAACGATTAATTTTAATGTGTAAAAATTAAAGAAAGGACAAAGCATATTGTACGGGTTTGTGTTGGGTGGAAAGGGAACTAGAGGAAATCATAATAATTTTTTTTTTTAAGATAAAAGGGAGAGAGAAAATAGGTTACAAGAGAGGAGATACTTTTTACCAGTTTATACTGAGTCAAGAAGAATTAGAGCCACAGAAATGAAGTGCAGAGGTCTGATGGCTATCTCGGAGCTCACAGACGGGGTCCCCCAAGAGACAAAGAAAGTGCTGACTTCGGAGAAGCAGGGCCAGAGTATGGGTTTTACAGGCAGAAGGGTCTAATTTGTGTGACCTTGGAGAAGTTACCCAACTTTCTAAGCCTTTGTTTCCTCATGTGTGAAATGTAGACAATAACAGCATCAACATTACAGATATTACCATTAGACATATCCTGACCCCTCTCCTTCACTGGAGACCTGTTAGTCACCCCAGTGTTCAAACGCACTGAGAAGCCAGCCCATTACCAGCACCATAGCAATATATGGCATGCAATTACACAGTGTTTAGAGAAGGAGGATGATGGAGAGGTTTGGGGTCTCCCCCAAATCCAGAAGCCTAAGTAAATGCAGAGAGAAAAATCTGTCAGTGAAGTAATCTTTGCACAGCCTAAAGCACCCTAATAGGCTATGGCTTGGTTCATTTCAAACCTAGAACTTCCTAAGAAGTAAAACAGTGCTGGTGACTCTTACCACCACCCTCAAGGCTCAAGGGTCTTTAGTGAAATTTCATGAACTTACCTGAAGCTGATTTCTAATCCTTAAAGCAAACAGCTGTGGCCTACGTTTTTATTTAGCAATTCAGCATGAGTAATTACTGCATGATGAGAATTATTAAAAAGAAATGGAAGGTGATGAATAAACACAAAAGAAGTTTCTCCTTGCCTCCTGGGAAACAGAATAGAATTTTTAAAAGAAGAGAGGGAGGAAGAGAACTTATTGTTCATTAGTTTATGATCAGGCAGAGACTTTAATTCAGCAAACAATGGCCCTAGGGTCTTGTGGTGTATGAGATGAGACTTGACCAAATGACTGGAAAATTAGCATGTGCCCTTGGCAATCTCTTTCAGTCACTAGCTGCCAGACGGGACAGTCAGGGACAGGAACGATGACGTGACTGAGCTGCTTAGATGCTGCTCTGTCTCATTGTGTTTCAGAGGCAAGGAGCAGCTCAGGCATTTTCCGCCACCTTGTTCCAATGACTGGATCCTCTTCATGCAGGTGACAGGATGTGTCCTCAAACATACCTTCCCCCCACGCCCCTCTCACTCCACCACCATCAAGGTGGTGTCTCTCTCTACCACTCATCGGAAGTCAGGACGGCCCCAAATGAACAGAAAGTACTCAAGTTCAAGAACAACAAGAAAATTCACTTTAGAACAATCAAAAACAGCACATCCATTTTCAGTTACAATGGACAAAGCAAACGTGCTCTGGGTTTTCATTAATTAATTGGTACTAAATAGATATTTGATGCAACTTCTGTTTCATGAGGTACAATTTTGAAAGCATGTGCGACTTTCACTACCATGCCCTGTACCTGCAAGTCAGGATCTATAGGGTCTGATTAGTGGCACACATAACTGGGGGCTTCCTGGGACAGTGTACATCTCCCCAGTGACTAAAGTTCACCTTATAATTCTGTTTTGCCACAATAATAATCTCTGCTCAACTGCTAGTGCTGGTAGGAGTGACCACTGGGGCACTTGCATGTCTCTAAGAGTGTTCTAGGCACCTCGCTGACCTCACCCCACTCCTGGCCCTGCTCAATGGTCCAGCACACATAGAGTAGTTGTTCCGAGTGCAGGCACTCAAGCCAGCCTGCCTGAATTCAAATCCTGGTATTACCATTCATTAGCTAGGGAATGTGGGACAAGGGCCCTCAATCAATTTGTTTCTCAGTTTGCTAACATTTATAATGGAAGCAATATTATCAATGGCCACACAAGCTTGTACGGAATCAATTGACACATGAATGAATTAACACATTAATATATGTTTTAATACTAAACCATAACATGTGCTTCATACACAGTGAGAAATCAATACCGTTAACTATTACTGCACGTTTTAGATCAGTGGTAAATCTTACCTCAAAATGTGTTAGCAAAAGTGGTAACGATAGTGTAAGTACTTGAAATTAAGTACTAGTAAAACTTCATGCTACTCATTTAAAATTATTTAACAACAACGAAAGCCCACATTACAAAATATTTTAAAGAAATGAAATTTTATTACTTCAAACATGAAGTAGCTCCAACTAGGCTAATTGTGTGTTGCCGATTAGAGCTTTTATGAGAAACTACCTCAGGAAGCAGAAAAGAAAAATCTAGTTATTTGTAACTCATTGCCTGTAAACACTTGAAACAAGTCTTTTCTTTCAAGTAATCTCTCAGCCAATTCATTTGTTACTTTTATTCTTAGCCAAAGATTTTCAGATGGATAATTCAAAAGTTAAAGTGAATGTAAACCCCATTCAAGTGATCAAAACTTCCGAATTAATCAAGTGAGAACAAAAGAAGCAGACCACATTTGGGATGTGACCTTCAGTGCTATTTTTTCCCAGAATCCTCAAAGTACAGAGCACTATTCATACTCATGAAATGATCATAATACAGGCCCAAGCATATCACATCTTATTATTTTACCAAAATCAAATCTGAGGTAGAATCAATGAACAAGAATCACCTGGGCAGAAAGAAGGATCTGGCAGCAGAATCACGAAAACTCCTGGGAAAACTCCGAAGTGGCCTTCACAGCTTGGACACATCCAGACTGACTGCATGTGAAATTCCCTTTCATCTAGACTCCATTAGTTGTGTCCACACGATCACCATTATAATCAACATATACAAGAGAATCTGTGTGTGACCCGTGGGCATTTACTGAGGCACACCCAAGAACAGTGCAAACCCAAGTCCTTCAAAGTATTTTATTAGCGAAACCAAGGGCCCCTCATTTGCCAGGCAATGTGCTAAGATCTTTACATGAACCATCTTACTTAACTCTCCTAAGAGCCCAGTGGGGAGCCACTACTACTATTATCATCATCTCATTTTGCAAATGGGGAAACAGGAATGGAGTGGTGAATAACTTTTCCAAGGTTATTTAGCTCATGACGGTAGCTAGGATTCAAACCTGAATAGTCTGTGTCCAGTGCCTACCGCCACAAATGATTACATGGCCTTCAGATGACCGATGCAACCTGTTCTTGGCTCAGCAAATTTAGAAGAGTGTTTAGAAAAACCACAAGTCACCAGCACTAAACAGGCTTTTAAAAGAAGGTCTGTATACTTGGCTTAAGAAGACATCGGGCCACGCTGAGTCAGTGTTTCCAATCTCTAGGTCTTCAATTTGGAGCCAAACCCTTTCAAGATTACCAGAAGTGGGCTAAAATGAATCACAGCTGGTATCCCACAAACCTTGCTGTTAGGTGCTATTTTAAAAGGGGAAAATGAGGAAAGGACAGTGTGGCCAGCTGGGGGATGAAAACAAAAGAGACATGAAGTGTAGGTACCACATTAATAGCTACAGTTCAATAGTATCTTAACGCCATGTCCACTTGTCTTCCTCTCTCTCCCCTTCCATGAAAACACAAGTCATCATGTTATCTGACCATAAAGTCACTTGCAATGCAGGCACAGGGCACCAAGTACACCCTCTCACTGGGACTTAGGTCCTTCCAAGTTTTCAAAATACCAAAGTGTTTTCTCACAAAATGTAGGTCGTTGTTTATTTAATTCTCTTAAACTTTTTCTGTTGTTTTTTTTTTTTTTTTAGTGTTGCCTTTTAGCCAAATAAAAATGTAGCCAATGGCAAGAATCAATAAACAATAAATGTATAATTCACATTGATAGAAACTAAAGCTTCTTTCTGGGGGGAGATTTATTTCAAAATCTATAGTGGGTTTGGGACTCCCCCCAAAACTCTTTATGACATTTCTCACACTCTTTTTTCTAATACCTTTAGTCTTGAATACCACCAACGACACGTGAGATGAACTATGCTTGAGGAAGAAGGGGACCTACACGAGACCCTAGAGAGAATGCAAGACACATGGAAATGAATTATAAAACTTTATTGGCTTGTTAAAAAAAAAAACATGAATAAATTCAGCAAGTACATTTATGATCTATCCATATGTTAAAACAGCACTTAAAAATAAAATAAAAATGATTATCCACTATTTACAAGAAATGGGAAAAGTGACTTTAAAACCTGGAACATTATGGAGAAAATAAAACAGGGCATGAGAATGATTCACAGGCTGTCTATGGATTACAGCAAATGGATTTCAACAAGAAATGAGTGACACTCAAGAATTTGTCTTTCTCTGGAATCTCTTGCTACTTTTTTCATTTTTTTTTTCCTTTTCAGCTTTATATGACAAATAAAATTGTAAAATATTTAAAGTGTGCAACATGATGATTTGACACACATATACATCATGCATAGACCCTCTTTCTATTTCACATTTATGCTCCATTGATAAATGGACTGTCTTAAAATAAAGGTGGTGAAAAACCTTTTCTTTGCTTCTCACGCATTTTTTTCTGTGAAAACTAAGACTCCGGACATACTCAATAGCAACCTATCTTGGATACCTACTAATGATCATCCCAAGGCTGCACTGTAACATTAGCCTGAATTAAACTCAAGAGTGATCTCACTGTCAAAATCAGATGTCTGGGAAGTTCCTTTGGCCCCGAAGACCAAAACAAGGAAATGGGCTGACTTGAGTGGAAAGCTGCCTTCTGTGACAGCAGTTTTTATGTCACTTTCTGGGCTGGGAATTCTGTTAACTTAATTCAGTCTGGCAGCACCCCACAGAAAGTTACAGTCATGCTCTGTCCAGGAGAGTCCTTAACCTACCCATGTGCCCTTGAATAAACCTGACATGGCCCACGGGCACTGTTGGTGTGTGAACACAGCAGGACACACTTAATAGGAAGACTGCTTCTGTCCTAGTTTCCTTGAGGAGTCAAGTCCACTGACTGGCACAGCCCCAGAGGGCTCCACTGACCTCTACTAGACAGGAATGGCACAGCCCACCAGGCCAGATTCGGCTACCCTGTGAGAACCCTGGATTATATGGAATCACTTCTCTTCAGCTGCTCCCCCTCTGTATCCGGAGTCTTGACAAAACGCGGTGAAATGAGCTTCTCCTGTTGTGTGAGGAAACTGGATGGAAACCAAGGGAGGAGTTCTAGACAGAAAGCACCAGAGCAGGAGAAAGTGTAAATTATCTGCTCTCTGACGAAATGAGAGAAGATTTAGTTCAGGTCCCCTTTAGTGCTTTGATTCGAATTTGCAATGGGGAAGGTGTATGCAGAGCAACCAATAAAGCAAATAAAAATAAACTCTGTCATGGAGTCTAGAGAGGGAAAGAAAGAGGAGGAGAAGGGAAGAGAAAAAGGAGGATGAGAGAAGAAAGAAGGGAGGATGGAGAAGGGAGGGGAAGAGAGAAAAAGGTCAGGGATTGTAAGCAAATAAAAAGAAAAGAAAGAGAGAGAAAAGAGGAGAGCCTCCATCATGCTTACCCTCACACATGGCAGGAAACCAAATTCCTGTCTTGTACCCCTGGAGCTGTTTGCTCCTCAGTCAGCCTAATAATGGCAGCCTCTGCTCTGTCTGAGGAGGGGTTTCAAGTCCTAACAACTCTGGGTGTAATTCAGGATAACTTGAAGGGTTGGAGCCCCAAATAGGCTCCCTCTGTGCTCTGTTATGGGCTGATGCTGGGATTGTTTAGTTCTAGTCTTTGCTCTCCACTTTTGGGTCAAAATGAAATCAGTCTCTGCTGGAGATCAGGAGTAAAAACCCCTGAATTGTCTTTAAAGTATGTGGCGATTCGTTTTTCCTGTTGAGAGATAGACCTTCTTTGGCCTCAGACTGATGCCTCATGTGACAAAAGTGGGAGTCCCTTAGTCTATCTCAGCTGCCTTGTAGGGTCTCGGTGGGACCTGAGGCAAGATACAGGGCTTGAACCACACCTCTTGAAGATGACACACCTGTTTTCCATTTACCATTGGCCACACCAGTACATTAAGGACACCTGCAAAAAGGAGCTGTGTGCTTTCCCCTGAACTTGGTGGCACCTGAGCGGGCCAGGTGACATGGACACTGGTGAAAGGAAAATCACATCAAACAAAACAGGGAGAAGGGACTCACTGGGTGGCCTGTGGCCACATGGAAATGGGGCTGGTTGGGGGATGAAGGGCAAACAATGCTGCAAGAGAGTCCCAGGCAGGGAGAGTAAGCCACGTTCCCAGCTGGCGGAAGGCACAGGAGAGCCCCAGGATCACTGAGGTGCTTAACTCAGTGGTGATACAGCTTTCAATGGCGATGCCGGGAAGTGTTTTTGCAAAGGAAAGACAGAAGGATACAGTGAGAGAACAATGATTTTGCTTTAAGACAAAAGTAACAAACTGGCAGCCCACAGACCTGTTTTGTTGGCCTACATAACATTTTAAAAATAACCAAGCCAACTTTTTAAAAATAGAGACATTTCACATAAAAGTCCAGGTTTCAAGTTTCTCTTAAAGAGTCAGAAGCTTTGGAAACCTGGGCCCACATTCCCAGGAGGCAGGAGTTGGCTGGGGCTTGGTGACAGCTGTCCCTCTGGTGGGGCGGGTGTTCACTCACCCAGTGCACAGCTTTCATTTAGGGTACCTGCCTGGTCCTGAAATGCCATGTCCTTGCTGGAGGGCGACAGATGTGATTTCAGGGAAAATGCTGCTTGTCCGTTTCCAATGTTACGAAAACACATGTTGCATGTCATTAGGAAGCTCGATAAAGATTTCTTGTAGGGGCATTAAAAGAAAAAGAATGAAAGGGGGTGGTCTAGAGTTTAGACACGAGAAGCTATGTTACTCATTGTGGTCTTCAGAGACTTTAAAAAAATGAAAAGCGAAGAAGTCAAGAACCATATGAAACAATTTTCTAACAGCCTGCTGTTTTCATCGTTCCCTAGGAGATGTCAACTGCTGTTTGATATATTAAATTGCCTTATCTGTCCACTTCTCTCCATTTTAAAACAAAAATCTACCCTGCCATTCGTCTAGCTGTTGAGTACAAATATCCTTTTTCCCCCTTTTGGGTCTGGGAAACTTATAAAAATAGTCCTTAAACAATTCATCACCTTTTTATGGCTCCGTGGAACAACATAAAAGCTTTAAAAAAAAAAAATTGTACTGAATGGCCGATACTTAAGAACCACAGCCATCCTGACTGCTTCTGCCTGGCTTACGGTTTGAATTTCACTTTTCTTTCAGGGTTCAGGGTTTCTGCAATTAGTTGGCCTTGTTGTAAATCAACACCTTTGAAAAAGATCAAAATCTAAGCAGTGACAGGAACTGTCATTTAGCAACGCACAAGAAAATGGCAATTCAGAGATATTCGGACCTCCCTACACCAAGGGCCAGCTGCTCTCACACTCAAATGTTTTACTGGAAAGAAAACTTTTGAGAAAGAGGAGCCAGTTTACGCTTTGCCCCTTTTGGGCCTGAGTTTGGAATAGCCAAGTTAAATGCTGTAATCCATAGGACTCTGGAATGTCGGCATCAAGCAATACCATATTTAGTGGCTAATGTAAAGGACAGAGTACAAAATATTCATCATGGATAATCTTTTTATATCGAATGGTGCCTAAATGGATCCTGGTTTATTAAGATGAATGCCTTGGTTACACGGGATTCAAAACAACATTTCCAAACATGTTAGACTAGTTAAAAATCTATAAATCCTTATTGCCGAACTGCCAAATTTGAGAAACTATTTCCAAAAAGGAATTAAAAAAAAAAAAGTCAATAAGTTTCCAATTCAGCCATGGCTTCCACGTGCATGCCTTCACAGTCAGAGCCGATTGTGTTGTCAAAGGAAAAGCTCCAGGCCTGGCTCCGAAGGCCGCCTAACAAGAAAGGTGTGTGGCGAGGTGGGCCAGGGGCAGACAAACCTGTCTTTGGGACAGGGATTCTACCTGGCGCAGACTGAGCAAAGTGAACAAAGGTCACTGCAATGGCCAAGTGAGTGAGACAGGGGACCATGGTAAGACTAAGGCAGGGATGCAGGATTCTGTAGCTGTAAAGCTGCCCTCTCAGCAATGAAGCTGGGCAATATAAAGCACATATTCATTAGTGACCTGCCACCTCTGTGCTGCTGGGGTCAGGCAAAGCTGTCCTGCCCGTGAAAACCCAGCAATAGTGTAGTGTGTTGTAGGGGGACTATCCTACTCACAATATCATCTCCTGCTCACAGCAGGCCAGCCATTTTGCTCACAGGCCTTTTCAGAGTAAAAAAGCTGCAGTTCTGTCATGGGAACAGCATGAGATGCTGTGGCCTTGTCACTGGGCAAACTTCTAAAAAGCAGGTGGATCACAGAGGGCAAATAAAAGGATATATGCACAATATGCATAAATTTATTTCACTCTTAGTTGTTCTGAAACTGACTATACTTAATCTAAATCTACAGCCCCCCTCCATGCCCCCCACCCCACACCGCAAACAAATAGCTTCTCTTTTTTTTTTTTTGCCATTAAGGAAACTTTGAGGAAATCATTAGCGTTGACTGCATGACTCTGGGCCTTATTGTCAGTGAAGGAAAGAACCTCTCAGTGACATCACCAAGTCCCCACAACAGCGATGATGTATATGCTCTTTCAGCCACTGTGTTGTAGATGAAAAAATGAGATTTTCTGAATTCAATACTGATTAAACAACAGAAGACGATGCTAAATATATGTTAAATGGAGATTACAGCTTAGTGTGCACTTACACCTGTCCCTAAATTTAGATATTTTTTTTTACTTTGTAGTTCATCTTTAATAAACAGAAACAATAAAATCAAATACATTTCCAGTAGAGTCAAATAGCACATCTTTCAGAGGACAAGCACAATCCAATGGAATTTCATTTCAATTCCGTATTTGAACGATTGTAAGAACAAAACGAAAGCATTAATTTAAGATGTTTTCTTGAGTTTCTGCTTAGCTGCCTGTGAGCTGCCTCAGCACTGGCGTTCCCCAATCACAGCTCACGACATCGGCAGGCTCCGTGCAGCACTCCTGCAAACACCGCCCATTTCTACCAGAAAAACCCAGATAAGCAGTACTTCCCGGGAGAAGCCAATGCCAGTCCCAAGAGTCCAGCTTAGAAGGCAGCATCAACCAACAAGCACCACAGCCCCTCTCTCTGTCTTTGCCTTTATTTCAGCTACCCATCCAGTGGGATCTTATGAAACAAAACAAAACCTAAAAGAAACACAAAATAAAACATAAGTCATGCTCAAAAGAAAAATCAACGGAAATTAACATACAAGTACAATCACTTTTAAAAGAACATAATAAATAAACATCAAAATCAAGACACGACATGGACTACATTTTAAAACATAAAGCAATGTATAATAACAGAACAGAAATTGGGAGAAAATGTGCATCTCATTATTGAGCAACTTAGTTTTAAACTCAAAACCAATTTTATATGGCACATGAAGCATGGGAAAGAAACATAAAGGATTTCTGCACACAGCTCCATCCACAACTGTATCAGATATTAACCCTTTAATTTAAGGAAGAGAAATCGGTGAACAATATAGATGACCACTGAAGAATTTTTATGTATAAGGACAAAAATAAAACTCAACAACAAATATCTCCCCAAAATCTTAATTATTTTTATCTGCCTAATTTTAATAACTGTCTGGATTTAATTGGTGAAATACTGAACCACACACAGATTTCAGTTCTTTTTATAATTAACTAATTGCCTAAATTTAATCAAGCACAACAGCATATATATGACACATACATATATAGAGATGTAATATGCATTAACTAATTGCCTAAATTTAATCAAGCACAACAGCATATATATGACACATACATATATAGAGATGTAATATGCATTATATCATATATGATATATAGCATACAACATGTAGTATGTTGCATGTATATATTATGTATATAAGACATAGTTTATATGTATATTACATACAATATATATAAAACATAATATATGTAATACTTAATATTAACTCTGCAAACATTTCCTGAGCACAGACCAAATCATGGTCACTGTAAGAGATGATACACAATTAAAGAAAATGGAGTTCTTTGACCTCAATACTTCATCGTCCAGCAGATGGGAAAAGGTAATTAAACAACTTCCACAATAAATAATGGCTAATCTACTTCGTGCCAGGCTCTCTTCTAAGCTCTTTGTCCAAAGTAGCTCTTTTAATTTTGCAATAACCCTATAAAACAGGTTCTATTATTGCTCCCTCTTTACTGGTGAGAAAACTGAGGCCCAGACAGTGAAGCAGCTTGCTCAAGGTCTGACAGCTGGTGTGCGATGGAGCTCAGATTCCAACTCAGAAAATCAAATTCCATGGCCACCCTGCCATGTTCCTGTGCAGGGAAGACAAACTCTCTCTGAACTTGCTCATGAAAACCCAGCTGGAACAAGGAAGATTCTATTACATATAATTCTGTGTGCAATTTGCATGACTCTTCATCAGATTCATAAGTGATAAAATAGATGGCATTGTGGTAGAAACCGCCAAGATGTTTTCAAGTTCAGCTTTGGGAGGCGCTTCTAAACCTAGCCCTCCAGACTCTCGATCTTCCTCAACCTGGTGTCTGGTCTGCCAAGTGCTGGTGTCATCTGCCTCCAGAGCTGTAATTACCACCACCAATCTGTATCATCATTTACAACAACACTACGGAGCTTACTTCCATGGCATTTCTGTCTCCTGCCCTTCCAAGTCTCTTGGTATGGACGCCAAACACAGTTTATGGATTTAATCACCCACAAAGCACTGAGAATTTAGAAGGTATGTTGTGACACTGATTAGTTCTCCTTCATATCTGTTTCTATTCTCTAAAAGTTTAGCCTCCAGGCAAACACAAGCCGTACTGGTTTAGAAGCACTATGGTATATCATACAAGCACGCCAAATTAACCACTGAACACCTTAATTATTCCATCAGGTTTGAAGAGGGTGACTCTCAAATTCCTTCCTAGTGAAACAATAGGATTAATAATGGGATGTTAAGTTTGCCAACAAAAACAGGAAAAACTTGGTGATACAAATAGAAGGCATCACTCCCAGACAAAAAGATTTCTTGACTCAATGTACTAGTTTCTCTGCACACACAATTTTGAAAGGCATTTGATTAAAAAATAATAATAACAAAAAGATTGAACTGCAAATGCAAGCCTTATTTCCAATGGGTTTACGGCACAGGAACCCTAAGAGTTTACTGCTGTCAGAATGTCTACAGCAGGAACCAGGCCATTCTTCCTTTGCTTCCATTTGGCATTTTTCTCTCCAACGCTCCTCCAAGCTCTTTCATATTACAATTGGAAAACAGTTTTGCTCTGCTAGATGCAATTCTTTTGGACTGCCATTTACTCAGGGTGCAACGGCATTTGCCCCTATTTAGAGTGACATCGGGTATCTCTCATTAACCTCCTTCTGCTTTGCCTTTTGTGATGTATCCTTCTCAAAGAAGCATACCTCAGTTCCACATGCCCATATGATAAAAACAAGTAAAGCCACCATAAAAACACATGCAGTCTACAGCCATGCCACCCTAAACAAGCCTGATCCCGTCTGATCTCGGAAGCTAAGCAGGGTCGGTCCTGCTTAGTACTTGGCTGGGAGACCATCTAGGAAGTCCAGGTGCTGTAGGCACAAAAAATTTTTTTAAAAAAGGGATTGTAAGCTGACAAGATCCTTGCAATCTGTGAGGTCAACCAAAGGTTACCTCAACTAAAATAAAATAAAATAAAGTAAAAAATAAGTCTAAAAAAAAAAATACATGTAATATCTTCCTTGTGAGAAAATGCCAGCCTGTTACAAGGATCAGCAATATGCAAAGTCTGCATTCAAACCATCACTACTACCACCCCTCACCTCAAGGAAGGCAGGTCGGCCTCCACTCAATACCCTTTATCTTCAAACATTGTTGATACACTAAAGATACGCCATCAAATATTGAAAAATCAGTTTGATTTAAAGATTTGAATCTAAGGAAATGTATCCAGTGCTTAATATTCCTAAGGGGTTGATAGTAAAATTCAATCAGGGTCCCAATCTACCTACCAGGAGCTCATGACTTTTGCCCTCTCGTGTTATGAGAAACTCAAAAAAGGGGTCACAAAATGATATAAAACAATAGATAATTATTTTCTCCTAGTGAGGGGGAAAGTTTTTAGACCACAACAAATGGCTGAACATCTTGTAGGTTTAGCAGCCAAACGAGCTGTCTAGCTTCAGAGCCTGAAATATAGATATTTTGACAAAGTGACATTCTGAAGCATTTGCAGCATTCCGATGGTGCATGGCAGTTATTGTGAGAACAGTTCCTTTATCAAAAACAACCTTAGAGAAACTTTGCCACCGCTGCTTATATTAGCTGAGCTAAATAAGAACAAGGATAAAGCAGATGTTATCCGAGAAATATGATGTGAAGTTGAAAGCAGAGAAGAAAACCCGGATGTGTCCTAAAACTCAGTCTCTGCTATTTGCTGATTCTGAATCTCCTCGCTGACCTCTTCAAAGAGAAGGACTGGGGGAGCTGAAGGTCAGTGAAGCACTGTGCTTTCTTTACCATTGGTTTCCGACTCATTTAGATTTATTTACATTCAAACGTGCACACATTTTCCTCTTATTACTCAGAAGCAATCAGCCATAAAATGGCAAGGATTTGCAGTATATTTAAATTAGCAGCAATTTATCTGGAGCAAAAAGGAAAACTGCTGAGTCGAAAGGAAGTGAAGGGAATGGAAGAAAGATGCAGCTGCTATCTGAAAAAGCCAATCTTACCATATCTGTTATTTGGAGAGTTCAAGTAGAAAAATGCCATCTTGGGAGTCTGTATGGATGGGGCCACTTAGGAGACCGTATGGTGCCTACAGGGACAATAAAGAGGCTCACCTTCATTGGAGAGCAAAGCAAATGCTCTTTGAGCCTTCTGGGAAATGTTTACTAAGATCAAAGAATAAACTCCTATGTGTTCTCATAACATCAGGTGCCTGAAAAATAGTGGGTGTAAAAAGCTTTCTATCACAGTTACACTTGAGCTAAGTGCAGTTCCGCCTCATTTCAGCACCTGGGCTTAAACACCACTTGTCCAAATTTCACATTTGGGGAACATTTAAGATCTGTTAGTTGTTGCACCAACCAGCCATTGCTGTTTTGTCTTTTCTATTTTACAGGGGACTCACTCAACCCACATGGCCATTGTGATATGTCCAAGGTCACCAGGGAATAGAGTGAGAGAGCTGAAATCTAAACTCAGAAATTCTGGATTGTCAGTTCATCTTTTATGACTGTATCACCTGCTTCTGTAGCAAAATTTTCCAAACATATAAGCTTAGGTCCTGGTGCATCCTTCTCTGTGCTCATTCTAGAAGTTGCTTACCCATCCTTCAGACACCCTTTTTGCTTCTTAAGGATGAGCTTTGTCCACACACCATCTCTTTTCCTAAGACCTCTTTCCATTTTAGCTATTCTTGAAGGTCCAGTTTAAAAGAGGTCTCCTGTGAGTATTTGGTTCACTGGCCTCATAACTTCCACAGCATCTTCCATCCATTCACTTGGCTTCCTTTTATACATTTTAAAACTTGTATTTCTCTTCTGTTTGCTTCCTGCATCCCAGACTATAAGCCACAGTAAGACAGAAAGAACATGTCTATAGGTCTTCTATGCCTTATGCCACCTTGCTTAATTCCCAGGACTGAATGCTTTTAAGTTTCAAAACAGTAATGTCTAAACTTTGAGCTTTATTGAAGAACTTTGATGTATTCAACAACGGAACCAAAATGGAAGGGAAGGGTGGACACAAGAAAAGTAGATCTTCAGTTTCTTACTGGCAACTGGGTTAATCAGCTCACCTCAATATTTGCTCGGAAGTATATTGAAGGTTACAGTTAGACATGTGGATACCCATCGAGTGCCTCCCGAAGCATTTTCAGCTCCTAGGGATTAGGTGCTAAACAATTTATTCTAATTCTTATGATGAACAAAATGACAGTGGCTGTAGGAGTGGGGTGAAGAAAACTGTTGTCTATTTGTTAGCTGGGGGAGAAAAACTAAAAATAAATGGTTGAGAATGGTCAGCAAGGCTTTTAAAGCTCTGGTTCGACTATGCAAAATAAAGTTTAGTTTCACGAGCTAAAAATTAAAGCAGAAAACACGAAGTTCTTGGCAAAGCTTGAATGTGTAAGGAAAGCCAAAGCTA